GCAAAACTATTTTCACCCCATATCACTCCCCGACCACTGTTGCTTGTGTGCTAGAGGAGTTTACTGCCCGTTTTATTTTTTAAAACAACATAAATGATAATAAATTTAAATAAACGATAATGCATCTTAGAATCCTAGAATAACTGAGTCGAAGGGGCCTCTAAGGTCATCAAGACCAACCCCGTGCTCAGTGCCCGATTCTAATCCATGCCCTCGTCTGCTGCTCTATCCATTCACCACATTGCGTGCTCCATATGGGATCTCCCCCAGAATGGCCTTTGGGGATTTACACACCACACTATCCTTGTTGTTTTGTGTTGTTTAGCTGTGTCTGACTCTTGGTGACCCCATGGACCAGAGCACGCCAGGCCCTCCTGTCTTCCACTGCCTCCCGGAGTTGGGTCAAAGTCATGTTGGTCGCTTCGGTGACAATGTCCAACCATGTCATCTTCTGTCATCCTCTTTCTCCTCTTGCTTTCACATTTTCCCAACATCAGGGTCTTTTCCAGGGAGTCTTCTCTTCTCATGAGATGGCCAAAGGATTGGAGCCTCAGCTTCAGGATCTGTCCTTCCCGTGAGCACTCAGAGTTAACACTATTATAGGTCCCTTGAAGGAATGCATCTGTGGGGTGGGGGGTAAGGCCACCGCGGATATGCATTAGCTGGATGATAGCTCTCTAGAAAGGTCTGCAGAAGTATCTCCTATCTATCGCTACCTCAATCCAGAGCTCCCAAAAAGCAGGGCAGTGTTTCGCAGGACAGCATTGATTCTGGAAGGGTAAATTTCTCCTCTTTGTGGCACTATTGCTACTTACTTAGAGGAAAATCAGCCGGCAATTAAGTAAGGAATTTGTCAGCAAGGGTAGAAGATACAGCTAATCCCAGTTCAGGATTTAGCTTCCATAAATTTACTTGCTTTAAATAGCCGTGGCTGCCACAGGATAAATGTGTACTCATAATAGTCTCTTCTGGAAAAAAACAACAACTTTATTCTTTGCTCGGTCCGAAAAAAGTCAAATCTTGTGTAGAGTCGTAGAACAGGCTTGGTCAGAGTAACCCTGGACAGAGTGTTGACCCCATTACCTGCTCCTCTTGTCTTTTTTCACACGTCCCGTCTAGGATGATGATCCACTGTGTGTAATATATAGAATCATGGAATAATGGAGTTGAGGGGGCCCCTAAAAGGGCATCAAGTCCAACCCCCTGCTCAAGGCAGGAATCCCAATCTAAGGGGGTCTGACAGAGGGTGGTCCCGTTTTCTCTGGAAGGCCTCCAGTGTTGGAGCGCTCACCATCTCTCGAGGTCAATAGTTCCATTGTTGTACTGCTCTAACAGTTAAGAAGTGTTGTTTTTTTTAATATTCAGCCGAAAACTGGCTTTCTGTTGCTTGAGCCCATTTTGCGTGTCCTGCACTCAGGGATCAAGAACAGATCCTGTCCCTTCTCCGTCAGATCCCCTTTTAGGTGTTTGAAAAGTGCTATCCTGTCTCATCTCTGTCTTCTTTTCTCAAGGCTAAACATGCCCAGTTCTTTCTGTCTTCCCTCCTAGGGCTTGGCTTCCAGTCCCCCCCCCCCATCATCCTTGTTGCCCTCCTCTGAACCTGCTCCAGTTTATTGGCACCCTTCTTAAGGTTCATTGTCCAGAACTGGACACAGCACTCTCGGTGCTGAATAGAAGGGGACACCTACCTCATGGGATTTGGAGACTCTACTTCTGTTAATGCAATCTAAAATCGACTTGGCCTTTTTTGCAGCCACGTTGGTCTGCTGGCTCATATTCAGCTTGTGATTTACATCAGTTCCAAGATCCTTCTCCCTCATAATACTATGGAGCCAAGTCTCCCTCTCCTGTGTCTTCCTGTCTGTTTTCTCAGCCTGGGAAACGGGGAGAATCCAGAGATCTATGTTAGGAACTGGGGCACATGTTGCTCTCCAGATGTTACTGTTTACAACACTGGAAGCTCGAGGCAGCCTCGGTAAAGGCGAAAGATTCTGGGAGTTGCAGTTCAGCTACACCTGGAGACCAACGCAACCCTTTTCTGTGCTGTAGCCTTTTAGTACGACAGCTTAATGCTTTTTCTTGAGGTATATATTCATCCTTGCTCACACCCTCCGTCTGCCGCAGGGGGCACATTTCTTGCATCTGATCAAGTGAGCCGCAAATCACAAAAGCTTAGCCTAGAATATCCATTAATCTTTCGGAGCCTCGGGGTGTAGAATTTAAACTGCAGTACTGCAGCCAAAACTCCGCTCACGCCAGGCGTTCCATCCCACACAGCCGACTCAAGGTTAACTCAGCCTTTCCTCCTTCCGAAGTCACTAAACTGAGTACAGTGGTGCGTCGCTTGATGAGGATAATTCGTTCTGTTGAAGTTGCTGTTAAGCGAAATCGTCGTCAAGCAAAACGAAAAAGCCCATTGAAATGCATTGAAACCAGTTCAATGCGTTCCAATGGGCAAAATACCTCAACATCCAGTAAAGATCCTCCTTAGGGGCGGCCATTTTCGGTGCCTGTAAAGCGAGGAATCTGTCCTAAAACACAGCGGGCAGCCATTTTAGAGCCGCTGATCAGCTGTTTAAAAATCGTCGTAAAGGGAAAAATCAGTTCCCGAAGCAGGGAACCAATCGTCGTCAAGCGAAATTTCCCTATCGAAACATCGTTTTGCGATTGCAAAAGCGAGTGCAAAAAACTTCATCGTCAAGCGGTTTTGTCATTTAACGAGATAATCGTTGAGCGAGGCACCACTGTACCCAGCTTCCTGAAGTGGTGGCAATGGGTAGCCTGCACAATTAAATTGTAAACTGCACGGAGAGTGCTTTAAGTGCTGCGGGGCGGTCTGCAAGCAGCAGGCTTTGCTTTTAAGATATTATTAAAAGATCTTAAAAGATCTTAACCTTAATAATCCCAGGCCTACTCTGAGTGTGTTCCTCTGTAGGGTTTTGTTTTCTGCGTATGACACATAGAAGAGATCTCAGCCTCCAGAGGATAGCTAGAGGGAGGTGGTCTTTTTAAACACATTATCTGGGTGGAAGGTGGAGAGAACATTAGAAAGGCTGTTATTTCTGAAAGCCAAGCAGCGGGCTCGGTTTGGGAGCTATAGAGAGTGCGATGGTGTAGGAGGGATTGATTAAAAGTTCCCACTCGGGAGGCTGAATGGCGGTCACGTTGCGCCGCCTTCAACGGGGCTGAAGCGGCCGCTGCCGTCTTTCAGCGAGAACTCCTCGTGATGAAGCCAAGTCAATGCGTTTAGCGATGTGATTCCTCCTTCCTGCTGCTGCCCTCTAAGCAAGAACTCTGAAAGGATGATGATAATAATGCAGAAGCATGAAAACTTGCATCGCTCAAGGGGCCATGCCTCAAGAAAAGAAGAAGGTGGGTGGCAATGATGGGTGAAGACCGAGGAAAAGTTAGTCATCACGAAGCAGAGATCGGGCGTCAAGCTTTCAGGGTGGCGACGAGTGACTGACAAGCTGAAAGGGCTCCGTGACACAGGAGTCAATGGCCTGTGTGGCAATTACAGGCATCTGCCTTTTTTTTTTTTTGCTTCTTTTAAAAAGGAAACTCTTGCATCTGAATTTATCCCTCTGGCCTTTGTACAGTCCTGGTCCACGGGCCTTTTGAGAAGCAGGCGTCAAGCTTTCTTATTGGAAGCTTTAAATGCACGGGCTAAAGTCATTTGGCTTTTCCATCTGGACCGAACGGATCGGAACCACCTCTCCCAACCACGCCAAGGCAGAAGGTTTCCAATGTTGGTTGGATGGATGGAGGGAGGGAGAGAGAGAGAGACTCGTGACTTGGACCCATTTTTACGAGTCGCGTTTTCAAGCCCCCTTTAGGGATTTGTTTTGTAGAACAAAAAAGGCCGAATAGGAGCCAATGATGCAATGCATCTGCGAAAAAGGCCAATGCGATTGTAGGATGCATTCACAGAATTAGAGTCTCCAAATCCTGTGAGGTCTTAGTCCCCTTATATTTGGCATTGGTTAAGCCTCATCTATAGTCCTGTGTCTAGCTCTGGACAACTCATTTTAAGGAGCAAGATCAGAGGAGGGCAAGAAGGATGATTAGAGGGGGGACCGGAAACCAAACCCTAGGAGGAGAGAGTGAAAGAACTGGACGTGTTTAGCCTTGGGAAGAGAAGACTGGAGAAGACTGGAGGGAGACAGGATAGCCCTTTTTTGGGAAGGGAGTCCTACAGAGGAGGGGGGCAGGAATCTCTTCTCCATCATCCTAAAGCTCAGGGCATGTCATCATGGGGTGGGTGGGACTTGATGGCCTGATCGGTTCCTTTCCAACTCCCGTGTTCTGGGATTCTGTACGAAGGGAAAAGCAACGTTTCTGTTCAAATCCAAAGATGGTCCATCGGAACGGCTTGTCCGTTCCGTGCAACTATCTTTATGTGTACAGAGACGGGCACATAATGAATAAACACCATTTGGGATGAGCTTTGCCGGCAGCAAACTCCTCCCTGTCGTGAAACATTTTGCTAGAAGCTCTTTTCAGAATGTCTCTTTTTAAATCTAGTTCTCCGCTTCCTCCCCAAAGCGGTCTACATACATAGAGAGGTTCATTATAATAATACCCCAGAACGGCAGAGATAGAAAAGACCCTATGACTCACGGAGTCCAAGATTATGCCTGTATCTTCTCATTCATTCAGCGGTCAGTGATTCTTTTTTTTTTAATGTGCCTGCTCATACTTCAAGTCTTCCAAAAGCCTGACCCTTCTGCAGAAGGGGGTACGGACATTTTAGACGATGGCGCCGGAATTGCGAAGACAACCCGCCGTTCAAATTCGTTTTGCACCTCCTATAGGTTGGCATTGCAACTCGGACGGTTCCTGCACACTCCCGGTCTTGCATTTATGCCTGGACTCTTTAAGATGCCCCACGCTACTTGTAGCTCGGGTGTCGGTCATATGATATCAGCAGAGCTTTCTGCGGTACAACCCTGCTCTATTAGGACTTGCCAGCGCTTGCTTTTTTACGTTCTGTCTTTTAGGTATCAATGAAGGGCCATTGAGAGCATTTATCCAGGACCTTGCCGTTCTCCGATGGCTGCTTAGCGGACTTGAAATGTTATGACAAGGTTTGGAGACGGTGGACTGATGCAAGGAATTCCTAAAATTCAGGTATTTTTACATTCATGGAAAGGTCTCCTTCCCCCTCCACTTTCTCTCTCCTTTACTAGCGATCATAATATCGGACAGGGTCCTCCTTGCAGGGTCTGGAAGGCTTTCAGGGTGTAAATTTCCTGGGTGTATGTTATACCCAACTTCCTTTTAACTTTCTTTTCCCACTTTCAACTCCAGCACCGTTTGATGATCTCTTTTGTCACAATCTCCTTGATTTTACTGGGGATCACAGTTCTGAAAAGTGCACCTTTTCACAAATTTTGCGTTGCTAGAATGTTAGAAAAGCTGAGCTTAAAGGCGTTCTGGACTTCGCCGCTCATGGGCTGTTATTACTAATAGCGGAGGCGACGTATCCCACAGAGTTTGCCGAAAGAAACTCTGTGGGCCTTTTTCTTGCAAGAGTGGGTTCATTCTTTCTCAGGATCATTGTTATGGGAATGCATGTGTGGGCAAATTCTAGCTGAACAGGGCAGGAGGAGACATTTCCGTGGTTCGGAGAAGTGAACTGCAGGGAAATCTCGGGGGCCTTTTTTCATTTTTTGTTCCTTCCGAAATAACCAGTCGGCGTTCAGGTTTGCTTGTCGAAACAGTGTAATTTTCTCCGCTGTGCGCTTGGAACATTTTGGAAGGTGTGCGCCTTGCCTCTGGATTCCTTTTTTCCCCGTTTTTAAAAATCAAATTAGTTCGGCACAGTTGGGCACCGCTGGATGCGGTTGCTTTAAGCAGCTTTTGAAATGGAAAGTGGTGATGATGTGATGACATAAAGCCCCATAAAGGGAAGGAGTTACAGAGCATTTACACTGTGGCAAGTTGGAAACCTCTCAGAGTTTCTCTGGCATTCGTTTTGAGAACCCTTACCCCATTTTTGTTGAGCTCCTGGGTCCGTTTTCCTTCTAGTGTGACTCCCGGGCGGGGGTGGGTGGGACAGCAGTGATTCTGTGGTAAGCCCAAAGATCTCCCTTTTGGGTTTAATGTGGGTGGATTTCTGAAAAAGTTGATGTTCTCTTTCATTCCAGGGGTGAAGATGGTGCAAAAATACCAGTCGCCTGTGAGAGTCTACAAATACCCTTTTGAGCTCGTGATGGCGGTAAGTTGTGCGTCTTTTGGGATTGCAAAACAAGAAAGTCGGTTTTCTGGGTTTGGGGTAGACTCCTTCGTAAGCTTCTCTTTGAATGGGTTTCTTTTGGCTACGTGCGTGTTTCTACAGCCGGCCTTCACGGATCTGCTTCACGAAATTCCGTAAACTGCTTCTTCCAAAATTGATTTACGACTGGACAGAATGGCGTGGATTACGAGAAAAGGAATGTTTTTTAAAAAAGCAAATATGGTGCTAATGGGTTTTCATTGAGTAATTTTAAGGGCTAATGGGTATTTTGAAACGGAAGGCGTTGTTGGTGCCTCTTTATAGATATGATTCTTAGATTTTGTAGGAAAAGTAGCATCCTCTTTGTGACCTCCAGAAGCAATTTAAAAAAATACATCCTTTCTGTGTGTAGTAAACAGTAGGGTTGTTGACTTCGGTCCAAACTTTTGTTGAACTTCTGGGTTTTTAATAGTCTGGTAAAGGTAAAGGTTCCCCTTGACATTTTTAGTCCGGTCGTGTCCGACTCTAGGGGGCGGTGCTCATCCCGTTTTTCAAGCTGTAAAGCCCACGCTTGTCCGAAGACAGTTTCCATTGCCACGTGGCCAGCATGACTAGGGAACGCCGTTTTACCTTCCCACCGAGGTAGAACCTATTTATCTACTCGCATTTGCATGCTTTCGAACCGCTAGGTTGGCAAGGAGCTGGGACAAAGCGACGGGAGCTCCCCCCGTCACGTGGATTCGATCTTACGACGGCTGGTCTTCTGACCCTGCAGCACAGAGGCTTCTGCGGTTTAGCCCACAGCGCCACCCTATTAAAAACAAGTTTTTCCCCTCAGAAAAAAAGCGAGGAGGTGGGTGGGTTCCGAGTCGCAAGCCAGAAAAGCGAGGGGGTGGGTGGGTTCCGAGTCGCAAGCCAGAAACTAAAAAAATGAACCAAGTCACAGGTGTGGCTTAATTCTAACTTGACACCGAGTCCCATAACTGGAGTCCCCGTTGCTGGTAAAAAAAATAATAATTCGACCGCCTACGTCTCCCCAACCTTAGGCCCAGACAGAGAAAGTCTTATTCCAGCCTTCTTTGCTTCTCTGGATTTTCCTTCCCTCTCTTGCATATTTCTTTTGTGAAGGTTTAGGGGATGTGGTACAGTTGGCTACGGACCTTGCTGGAAAATGACCTTGGGAGAAGGACTTTGACGAATGCCTGGTACAGACTACAGCAGCGGAGTCTGCTCTGCTTATGTCATCTATCTTCCGTACCAGATTGATCTGATCTGCATCAGTGCATCCGGGGGAGGTCGCCTGCGTTCCTACATCCTTTCTTCCTATGGCTCTTGGCACAGAAGGTTTTTTGTCTGCAGTGCTTGCTCTTTTGACGCTCCCGACAAGCTGCAGTTCTGGGAAGAAAGCAGGCAGGGCTGTAACTTTGTCGGATTCTGAACCGTAAGGTCTCTTTCCTTCTAAGGATATTTGCGCTTTTCCCGGCGACAGTGGCTTTTACCTTCCTTCTGTAAAGGGCTGGCCACACAGGGGAACTGGTAAATGGAATAAACACCCATGTGTGTGTCCTTTGGCTTCACTAGGCTTGAATGCTGCAGGATCGCACCGACGGCAGATGGCAGCTGCTTGTCACTAAATTAGCCTCTAATAAAGGGGAGTTGTCTCTACGAATCCGTCATTTGCATTATGAGAGATTGTCGGTGGATCAAACAATAGATGCATCCGGGCTTCAAGGCAGTTGGACCTCATATGTGTCTCTTGTTTTAGAATCAGCCAGCTTCTCGCCAGAGTAAGCAGGCTGATTGTTAAAACAGGGACGTAAAACTATACAGAAGGGGGGGGGGAAATGCAGATCGTATATACCGTATTTTTTGCACTATAAGATGCACTTTTCCCCCCACAAAACAGGGGGTGGTGGAAAGTCTGTGCGTCTTATGGAGCGAAGAAAACAGATTTTTTCCTGTTTTCTTCTCCTAAAAATTTGGTGCGTCTTATGGAGCGAAAAATACGGGTACATGATACCAAGTCCAGCGCTTGCTTTCATAGGAAGGGTCTATAGATAAGTGCCTATGGGTTAATTCAGTATTTTCTTCTTTGGATTGGTACTGGAGGGCCATCTGTAAATTTCTGGTAGTGCTTACAGTTTTTAACTCCAGATTTTGGGTTCTGTGGCCCATCGGTGCTGCCTGTTCTGTGGGATCGTCCGAATTCTGTAAACGTGTGAACGGCGTCTGTCTTAGGGAGATGAGCAGAAATAATTTGACAGTTATGTGATGCCCTGTGGTGCCATGCTTATAATGAGATAAGATTTAATTTACTGGGATATGGGTTTGGCGAATATATTCCCCCAGACAATTAGAACAGCTTTACGGAACGCTATTTAATGGAGAGCAGGTCATTTTTAATTTACTCGCTCCCCTTCTCTTTCCTATAAAAACGAAGTGCCTTTTAATGTCAGGAAAAACTGAATCAAATCAGTTTTGAAATCAGTGGCAATGCTTTATAATTAAAAATTATAGTCAATTAAAACAAAGTGAAATTGATTTTAAAAGCCAGCAATATTTGACAATTACAATAGGCTATTAATGGCAGCCAAGAAATCTCAGCCCCAGTAAAATGTCTTTCAGGAGCGGTGTTCACCACATCCATACTTCATGAATAATGGAGGCCTTATGTTTCCGAATGCTCCAACTACCGTACAGTTGCACTCATTTCACACGCTAGCAAGGTTATGCTCAAAATCCTACAAGGTAGGCTTCAGCAGTATGTGGACCGAGAACTCCCAGAAGTACAAGCTGGATTTTGAAGGGGCAGAGGAACTAGAGACCAAATTGCTAACATCTTTCTCCTGAGAAATCTATATGCGGGACAGGAAGCAACAGTTAGAACTGGATATCGAACAACTGATTGGTTCAAAATTGGGAAAGGAGTACAACAAGGCTGTGTATTATCTCCCTGCTTATTTAACTTATATGCAGAATACATCATGCGGAAGGCTGGACTGGATGAATCCCAAGCCAGAATTAAGATGTGTTGTTGTCGTTGTCATTGTTGTTGTTGTTTAGTCATGTCCTCTGTCGTCCCCTTCTCTTCTTGCCCTCACACTTTCCCAACATCAGGGGCTTTTCCAGGGAGTCCTCTCTTCTCATGAAATGGCCAGAGTATTGGAGCCTCAGCTTCAGAATCTGTCCTTCCATTGAGCACTCGGGGTTGATTTCCTTCAGAATGGATAGGTTTGTTCTCCTTGCAGTCCAGGAGACTCTTCTAGAGCCTCCTCCAACACCACAATTCAAAAACATCAATTCTTAGGTGGTCAGCTTTCTTTATGGTCCAGCTCTCACTTCCATACATCACTACTGGAAAAACCATAGCTTTGACTATGCAGATCTTTGTCGGCACGGTGATGTCTCTGCTTTTTAAGATGCTGTCAAGGTTTGTCATCGCTTTCCTCCCAAGAAGCAGGCCCCTTTTAATTTCGTGGCTGCTGTCACCATCTGCAGTGATCATGGAGCCCAAGAAAGTAAAACCTGTCACTACCTCCATATCTTCCCCTTCTATTTGGCAGGAGGTGATGGGACCAGTGGCCAAGATCTTAGTTTTTTTTTACGACCATTTTTTTGACAGTTTTGACAATGTATAGCTTGCATCATTAAATTGTAAACCACCCAAGGATTGCTTTGCCTGTGTTAGGATCCTGTGTTCTGATCCTGATCCTGCCTTGACTTCATCCATTCCCTCCTTGTCTTGAAGATATTTCTCAATGATGGCTAGTAGCAGTGCAGCTGATGTGAACGAATGGATCGTGGCAAGGGTCTGTTCAGAGGTACCCTGTTTCTCCGAAAATAAGACCTAATCTGAAAACAAACCCTAGTATGATTTTTCAGGATGCTCGTCATATGAGCCCTACCCTCGAAAATAAGCCCCAGTTAAGTGAAACCCTGCCCTCCACCCTTGTGCAGCAACCAGAAGAAGATGATATGACTGTATTGGAATAAATGTAGATGGTTGTCCGTGAAAAAAATAAAACATCCCCTGAAAATAAGCCTTTATGTGTTTTTTTAGAGCAAAAATTAATAGAAGACCCTGTCTTATTTTAGGGGAAACATGGTAGGATCTATAAGAACCAAGCTTTTGCTGGAATAGACAAAGGTAGAATGATGACAAGGGTGCTTACACTCAAGAAGCCCTATGTAAAAGTTGCACTTTGGAATTGCTTTGTCCAGCTCCTCGACATTGGACCATTCTCTCGTTATCTTGTAATGGGGGTGGGGAATAAGCAGTTTTAATTTGAACAGAATGTTATAGAGGCGGTTGCATCTGACGGCTTCCTTTCCAGTCAAATTGGCCCTCGTCTCTAAGCACGAAAAGTTCGTAATCTGCTCGCGCTGGGAGCCAAATCTCTCTCTATGGGCCTCCGAAGAACAGATTCCAGTTCCGTCTGGACAACTGAGCCCGGCCTGACTTGCAGCGTGGAAAATTCCTTCCTGCCACCTGTGAAATCGGACACCGAGTGTTTTGCACAGCCGTGGCGTGAGCACACCCACGCTTGCACACACACGCTGTCTGTCCGTTTCCTCGGCAGCTTTCCTCTGACTAAATGGAGGGCCCTTACCCCAGAGCTGCGTTTTTCTCGGGAGCATGCTGCTCCTCTCTGGGATTTCCATTCCATCATCCTAACCTTTCCCTTCCTGCGAACGTTGGCAGCCGGATCGGCAAAGTTGCTGGCAGGGGAGGGTCAGACGAGGTCGCGGCTTGCAGAGCGAGGCCGCCGTAAGAATCCGGAGAGCGGTTCCCCGTTTTCACCAGGCGTCTGCGTTGTGGACGGGTTTGCTCAAGGGGGATCATGTAAAAGCAGGGGCTTTGATGTCGAGTCATTTTTCATGCATGGAAAAATGCTTCTGCTTAAATATCCTCGTCGTGACCTTTTCGGGAGATGCAGAACGGCGCGCTGCAAAAGGCCGACCCAGGTCTCTGTTTTGATTACATATTCCGCTTAACGAAATCTTCTTGCAGTCCTTGGTGGTGTGACTCAATCACTGACGGCCACTGTTTTGCCAGCCAACACATCGTAACTTGTTCTTTTCCTTCATGTCTTGCTCTCGTCCTCGTAATGCGCCATCGATTCACCTCCGACTTATAGCGACACTGTGAATGAGCCCTCTCCAAGAGGTCCTCAGAGACAGTGGCCTGTCTTCCCTTCTGGGAGCAGAACCTGCCTTCTCTGCGCCTCTGCCCGCCTATCAGCTAACGGTCATTGGCATGCGCAGAGTCAGCGGCCTGGCCTTCGTGAGCCGGGCCTGGGATCTCCGGGCATGTGCCCGGATCCCAGTAGATTAGAGAGATGGGCTGGGACCCGCATTCCCTCTCATTTTCTGTCCCACTGCGTGGAAGCGGGAATGGGTGGGGGCGTCATTCAGAGCGAAATGTAAGCCACCCACCTGCCCATGCGCATCCCCCAGTAGGGCTCTGAGTGAGCGCATGCGCAGGTTAGAGGGAAAGTTGACAGGGGCCAACCTTCCCTGTCAGTTGTGCGGCTGCACAGTGCCGGATTAGGACTGCACAGCACCAGGTTGCTTCTGGTCGCAGCAGGAAGGATGATGGAGAACGAGATGGCAGGACCTGGTCGGGAAGCGATGGGGGAGCAGTGGGAAGATGGCAGGCAGGTAGCAGAGGGGGTGGTGGGTTGGTTTCCCTCCCATCGGGCACAAAAGTTTTTTTAAAAAGAACTGGTTTGTTATTCGAGTTCAGAAAGTTTGTGGTTCGTGGGTAGCCACGAACTGCCATTTTTCCTGATTCGCGCCCATCTCTATTTTCTATTAACTTTTTTTTAAAATGAAAAGCTGGCACAGTAGACTTGTCAGCCTGAGCACGAACGCCCGGCTTGCTTAACCTTTGCTCTGGAGATGTTTCATTGGTTGGCTTCTTGCTCCCAAGTTTATTTCATCCTTTCCTAAAGCTACCTGCCGTTGTGTTGTGGCTTCCGCCCCCAAAGAAATGAAGAAGGTGACCGGCAACCCCCTATAATATGTGGTTTTGTACAAAACCACAAAACAGATCCTTACGGTCTCTTCCTGATATGTATACACTGGAGCCGGTTGCTATGTTTTGGAAATATGATAGGTTTTCTGTATTTATAGATCTTGTTTAGATCTTGTGGCTCTGTGATAATTGTGAAGATACACAGAGTATGTTCTATTGCTTTGATGCTTTCCCACCTAAAATCACACGAAGGTACGTAGAATGTGTTCTTCTTCAGCCTTACTGACTTTGCTTTGATGCTTTCCCACCTAAAATCACTCCGAATACAGACAAGACTCACAATGCAGCTCCAGGCCTCCGTGTGTTGGCTTCAAATATTACCTATATTGTTGAATACAGACAGACAAAACACACTCCAGGCCTCCATGTGTTGGCTTCAAATATTACCTATATTGTGAGAACTTCTCTCACACTCCTGTCCGGCAGTGAGTCCTGGACCCTTTGTGCACGGCAGGAGAGGAAGCTGAACGCCTTCCATATGCGTTGTCTCCGACGCATTTTTGGTATCGCCTGGCAGGACAAAGTTCCAAAAAGAGTAGTCCTAGATTGAGCTGGAATTTTCAGCATGAACACATTACTGAAACAGCGACGTCTACGTTGGCTCAGGCACGTCGTGAGGATGGCTGACGGTCGGATTCCGAAAGATCTCCTGTATGGAGAATTCGTGCAGGGAAATCGCCCCAGAGGGAGACCACAGCTGCTCTCTGTTATCCGAGACTCGTTTTTTCTTTTGGTGTCTTTAATTTCTAGCGGTGTCATCGCCTATTCTACCCCGTTTTGTACGATGTTAACCTTCATGATTCCCCTTTCGTCCGAATGCATAAAACTGGGACCTTGAGGGGCTTCAGTTTTGTGATTACGTGTTCACGCAATCTTTAGCCGAGATGTAATATTAAAGGCAAACCGTGTTAAATGTCACGTCCGCTCGTCCTTCCTTGCTTGGTTCGTAATGAGCATCTTGTTCTCTGAAGCATAAATATTTATTATCTAATGTGGTGGCTGAAGGATCTATTCTACAGGTCATATTCTGGTGTTTTTCAGTGTAAGCCCTTTTGCATTTGCTAGATCCCCCCAACCTGCCTGAAATAGACCATATTTTTCGAAGACTTCCTTTGATTTCTCCTGGGCTTTTGGAATTCTGGCAAAAATCGTGGCTCTTGGCAGTTTTATCTTTGGGGGACTTTCACAAGAATAAGTGATGGAAATATGCTTTTCTTCTCAGCCGGTCTAAAAATTGCGGACAAGGAATAGCTCAAACATTTAAGGTTTCTAGTTGCCGAACCAGAGGCTGGGATTTCTGCTCTGTGCCTCCTTGACAGAGACTGGATTTGATAATCTATAGCAGTGGTCCCCAACCTTGGGCCTCCAGATGTTCTTGAACTACAACTCCCACTGTTTAAGGTTTCTCGTTGCAGAACCAGAGGCTGGGAGTTCGAATTCCGCTCTGTGCCTCCTTGAGAGAGGCTGGATTTGATAATCCATAGGGTTCCAGTTCTGTAGTTCCAAGATTATTATAAAGGTGGTTCTGTTTTTTTTCCCCAAACAGTTTCTGGTTTCCAAGAGAGTTGAAAAGCGCAATTCTGTAGTTCCAAAATTATTATAAAGGTGATTCTGTTTCCCCCACACACACACATTTTCTGGTTTCCAAGAGAGTTGAAAAGCGAGCATCACTATATGACTTTGAAAGAAGTTCTACCTACGGGCCTGCAGGAATATGCTAACAAAGTTCCCTTCTTGTCTTAAATAAATATCTTGGAGTTAAGGTGCGTTCAAACTCTGACCGCCAATGGCCTTTCAGGGGTGAGGTTTCACCCTAATCGCGTTTGGCTGGAAATTTTCCTCCCAGCCATTCAAATAAAGAATGCTTGCCAAAGGCTGCCAGGCGTGAAGCCTGAAAGCACACACCCTCAAAGGCCGTTGGCCGCCAGTGTTGGAATGCACACCTTCAAGAAGTGTTTCTGGCACAGATATCTGCCATGAATTTTTGGACCTCTCGTATATACAGTCGTGCCCCGCTTAACGATTACCTTACATTGTGATGAATCCGCTTCACAATTATGTTTTTGCGATATGCACACCTTTAAAGAAGTGTTTCTGGCACAGATATCTGCCATGAATTTTTGGACCTCTCGTATATACAGTCGTGCCCCGCTTAACGATTACCTTACATTGTGATGAATCCGCTTCACAATTATGTTTTTGCGATCGCAAAACGATGTTCGAAATGGGATTTTTTCGCTTTGCGAAGATCAGTTCCCTGCTTCGGGAACCGATTCTTCGCATTAAGACGATCAAAACAGCTGATCATCGGGTTTTCAAAATGGCCACCGGCTGCTCAAAATGGCTCCCTGCTGTGCTTAGGGATGGATTCCTCGCTATACAGGCACCGAAAATGGCTGCCGTATGGAGGATCTTTGCTGGACGGTGAGTTTTTAGCCGGCTTTTAATGTTTTTCAGTGGGTTTTTTATTTTCGCTTTACGACGTTTTCGCTCTACAGCGATTTCGCTGGAATGAATTAACGTCGCTAAGCGAGGCACCACTGTATTTTCTTCTGAACTGTCCACAAAATCTGGTGCTCAGCCTGAGGAGGACAAGTGGTCGTTCAGTGGTCTAACAGAAGCATCACCTGCTCTTGTGTTTGAATGAATTGCTGGATAGCTCAGTGTTTGAGCCGTCTGTTGGTGGAACCAGAGGTTGGAAGTCTTGACGCCTGTGCCTTCTTGACAGCGGCTGGACTTGATGATCTACTAGCTCTGCTTAAAATGATACCTGGATCCCGGCTAAATTACAGGCGTGGAAATGGCTATTTAAACGAGGCACGCTGTCCGCTGAACCGGCCTGAAAGCGTTGAATCTGTGTTTGTTTCTTAGGCTTACGAGAAACGCTTTCCCACGTGCCCCGAGATCCCGGTTTTCCTGGGCAGCGAGATCCTTCGGGAATCCAAGAGTGACGACGGAGCCGTTCATGTCGTTGAGCGAAGTTGCAAACTCAACGTAGACGCGCCTCGGTTGCTGAAGAAGGTGGGGGCTGAGTCAGCTTCATGGGGCGTGTAGATCTGAGATCATTTCCCCCTTGCCCAGAAGCTCCCTTGCTCTCTTTCCTGACATCCTGTTCTGTATGTCTTTTTTTTTAGATTGCTGGGGTAGAATACGTGTTTTTCATCCAGAAGAACACGGTGAACTGGAAAGAACGGACCCTTCTCATTGAAGCTCGGAACGAGACCTTTTCCAATCGAGTCATTGTCCTGGAGACCTGTAGCTACTCAGTAAGTTTTCCATTTACTACGTTTCTCTTTTCCTGCGTAAAATGAAGCGGGTGGCCTTGCAGCTTAGCAGCTACTACGGTGAGCTGGCTGGATGATTACCCCGCTGTACGACGAATCCACATGACCTGGCTGGATGATTACCCCGCTGTACGACATATCCACTTAACGCTGAAGTTTTTGTGATCGCTTTTGCAATCACAAAGCAATGGCTTAAATTGGGTTTTTTTGTTTCACAATGATCGGTTCTGGGGTGTTTTTTTCACAATGATCAGTTCCCTGCTTCGGGAAGCGATTTTCGCTTTACGACGATCAGCAACCAGCTGAAGAAAATGCCCCTCCCCCCGCTATTTTTAGGACTGATTTTTCGCACTACAGGATCGGTTCCCTCCTTCGGGAACCGATTTTTGCTTTACGACAATCAGCAAACAGCTGATCATCGGTTTCAAAATGGCCGCCAGCTGAAGAAAATGCCCCCCCCGCTGTTTTTAGGACTGATTTTTCGCTTAACAAGCACCAGAAAATGGCTGCCATATGGAGGATCTTCGCTGGACGAGCAGGTATTCAGACCATTGGAACGCGTTGAACGGTTTTCAATGCATTTCAATGGGCTTTTTTATTTCGCTTGACGACGTTTTCGCTCTACAGCAATTTCGCTGGAACGAATTAACGTCAAGCGAGGCACCACTGTATCAGTCCTTCCATATTGTACAGTCGATAGTCATTTTTCTCTGTTTCGGGGAGGATGGCCATTTGGTATAGTATTTATAATTTTCTCAGGACTGGAGTCAAATGCCAGCTCTTTCAGCCTTTCCTCACAGGGCTTGGTTTCCAGACCCCTGATCCTCCTCCTTGCCCTCTTCTGAACTGGCACCAGCCTGTCGGCATCCTTCTTGTCCTTCCATATTGTACAGTCGATAGTCATTTTTCTCTGTTTCGGGGAGGATGGCCATTTGGTATAGTATTTATAATTTTCTCAGGACTGGAGTCAAATGCCAGCTCTTTCAGCCTTTCCTCACAGGGCTTGGTTTCCAGACCCCTGATCCTCCTCCTTGCCCTCTTCTGAACTGGCACCAGCCTGTCGGCATCCTTCTTCAAGGGTGGTATCCAGAACTGGACACAGGACTCAAGATGAGCCCTCACCGGTGCCAGATAAGCTTTAAGGGGAGACAGAAACCCAAGCACAGATTTTTTAATGTTTTATTATAGAGTATTTCAGAACTTTGTCTTCTTTGGGCCAGCAGAAACCAGGAAGACTCAGACACAGCCGGGATGGACGTAATCAGGTTGCTAGGTTACCCATCTCATGTTCTTTGTCTCCATTATGCTTGTTGTAACTCCATCAAGATGTACCTCGGAAGCTCTTCTAGCCGGGCTGCCTCACTGTCACAGAAGCCTGTCTTTGGTTCAGCCGAGGTTTGCTGCTTTGTTCCGGCGGTGACATTTGAGAGTCCTCTCCGTGTCCGGGAAGCCATCAAATACCCTTTTGTGTTGGGTGAACAAAAGCCCGGCTTGTGTAACTTACCTGCGTGGTCGGCGCCTATTCAGAACGGCAGATTCTTGAAAGCCAAGAAGCTTTCCGATCTATGGCTTGGCTTTGGGTGACTAAAACCTGCAGGTCTCTTAAATATCATGGCGTCCCTACAGCCAAGGACAACGTAGTCTATGGGGCTGCTGTAACATACAGTGGTACTCCCCTTCTGTTGTCACGTTGGCTCCCGTCTCAGGGCAGAATGAGATATGAAGGCAGAAGACCTATGGCTTCAAATATAGGTCACTGCCAAACAGCTGGAGAGCGGGGCAGGTGATTTCCCGTTGGAAAGGGGTGGGAGGGAGAGGGCGCTTGTCGCTTCTCCCTCCATCATGTTTTTCGGTGAGGAGGTGTCCTTTCTAGCGCCAGAGCTCAGCTAGGAGGCAGAGAGTCTGAAGGATCCATCAGAAGGACCCAGCAACCCCTCATGCCCGCAGATTTTCCTTTAAATTGTGCTTTCGCACAATTAAATTGTGCTTTCACTTCTGCTCCATGGTTCTTCACAACCCGCATCAGAAGCCGTAGATCTCCCAACTCAAGGTGCTGTTGCTGTATGTTCTAGCAGCTGAAGGATCCATCAGAAGGACCCAGCGACCCCTCATGCCCGCAGGTTTTCCTTTAAATTGGGCTTTCGCACAATTAAATTGTGCTTTCACCATTGCTCGAGGGTTCCTCACAACCTGCATCAGAAGCCGTAGCTTTCCCGACACAAGGTCTAGCATCAAGGTGCTGTTGCTGTATGTTCTAGCAGTTGTTAATACAGTGGTGCCTCACATTATGATCACTGACCCCTCATGCCCGCAGGTTTTCCTTTAAATTGGGCTTTCGCACAATTAAATTGTGCTTTCACCATTGCTCGAGGGTTCCTCACAACCTGCATCAGAAGCCGTAGCTTTCCCGACACAAGGTCTAGCATCAAGGTGCTGTTGCTGTATGTTCTAGCAGTTGTTAATACAGTGGTGCCTCACATTATGATCACTTTGTTTAACGACGAAATCGCATTACGATGAACTTTTGCGATTTTTTTGCAATCGCAAAATGATGTTTCCTATGGAGGAATTTCGCTTTGCGATGATCGGTTCCCTGCTTCAGGAACCAATTCTTCGCAAAACAACGATTTTCGGACAGCTGATCGGCGGTTTCACAATGACTGCCGGGTAATTAAAATGGCTCCCCACTTGTTTAGGGACGGATTCCTTGCAAGACAGCCACCGAAAATGGCCACCCTATGGAGGATCTTCGCTGGACAGTGAGTTTTCAGCCCATTGGAACACATTGAAGGGGTTTCAATGCGTTTCAATGGGCTTTTTAACAGCAAAAATGGCCGCCCTGTGAGGATCTTTGCTGGACGGTGAGTTTTAAGCCCATCGGAACGCATTAAACAGGTTTTTATGCGTTTCTATGGGCTTTTAAATTTCGCTTTACGATGTTTTCGTTCTACAACGATTTCGTTGGAACTAATTAACGTCATAATGTGAGGCACCACTGTACTTACTTTGAATTCCTGGTGTCTTGTTTCAACTCCTTCAGAGATAGTGATCTCACAAACTGCTGCAAGACTTTATTTCCTAGTGTTCTGATCGGTGAAGAAAGTGGGGAGGCGTTGTTATGGAGCCCTCCCTAAATTTCTGCATTCATTTCCTGTAATCCTATATTTAGGCAAGGAACCACTGTACTTTGAATTCCTGGTGTCTTGTTTCAACTCCTTCAGAGATAGGGATCTCACAAACTGCCACAAGACTTTATTTCCTAGTGTTCTGATCAGTGGGGAGGTGTTGTTAGGCAGCCCTTCTAAATTTCTGCATTCATTTCCTGTAATCCTATATTTGTGTCATCTCATTTAACTTCATACAGAACTTGCCTCCCATGCTCAACAGGTGGGCTCACCCGGGATAATATCTGGACAACCATCAACAACGGAAGTTTTGCTTCAAGGCAGATTCCCAAAGATTAAGCTAGCAAGCAGGAGTACCGTATTTTTCGCACCATAAGACGCACTTTTTTCCCACAAAACAGGAGGGTGGAAAGTCTGTGCGTCTTATGGAGCGAAGAAAACAGATTATATTTTCCTGTTTTCTTCTCCTAAAAAATTGGTGCGTCTTATGGAAAGGTGCGTCTTATGGAGCGAAAATACTAATTGTCTGCAGAAGCCGGTTTTCAGAGATTTAGAAGCTATACGGCTCGCAGAACTTTCCTCCCATGCTCAGCAGGTGGGCCGCCCCTGGATTCACCAGGGGTAATATCTGGACAGCCATCAACAGGGGAAGTTTTGCTTCAAGACAGATTCCTCAAAGATTAAGTTGGCAAGCAGGAGCAATTGTCCGCAGAAGCCAGTTTTCAGAGATTTAGAAGCTATACGGCTCGGCAGATGAGCGTAAGGAGTTCAGAAGGGTTTCTGATTCCCGTTACACAATGCACATTTTATCCTTCGTGAATTTAGCCTAAAGCTTTCCTGGAGGAACATTGAAGCAGACACCAGCTACGTAGAAAAATACGTTGGAGAACTAATTCTATCTGTGCTGAACAGTATTTTTTTTACAGTCTGCCACACGGATCCTTAACGGTGTCGCATCTATGTCTGAGGTTAGGTTCACCCTGAAAATGAAAACTGGACGTGCTTTGAGCAGTCGGCTTCTTTGGACATCAAATCCTTCTTTGGCTTTGAGAACACGGTGGAGAAAATTGCAATGAAGCAGTATACTTCCAACATCAAGCGGGTGAGGGTCGCGGGTCTGTACATTACGGCAGAAATATTCTAGGCCTCTCTTGTTGTCTTCTGCTTGCCTGGAGACCCTAAGGCAGCGAAGAAATCTATGTATGCAGGAACATATCATTTATTTGTCGGTTTGTTTTATTTATAAGCCTCCTTTCTCCTTAGAACGGGACCCAACGTGGTGCACAATATTAAAAAGAATAGAATTAAAAACATGATAAGTTAAATATTTTTTAAAAAACCTAAACAATTTGCTAATTATAATTAAAAGCAAGAAAGCATTTTAAAGGATCTTCACTTTTTAAAAAGGCGTTCAGGAACTCAATCATGATGTGTGTTTTTTAAATTAAAGAAAAACAAGAATAACACTAAGATAAAATGTGTGTACATGCATACTATACAATATTACTAAAAAAATTTCCCCCTGTGCCACCATCACTCTCGGGACCAGATAACCAAATAATCTCTTTTCACCCCATTCCACTCCAAAATACATTGATTCTTCTGCTGGCTTATGGCCTCTTCCTTTTACAAAAGCAGGTAGGACACCCCCTATATGTGGAATCAGTATCTGCTGATTCGCTTACCCTCTGGCTGGAAATATTATAAATATTAAAAGAAGAATTCCCCAAATTATATACGTATTTTTTAATGATGCCGTTGCAAGAACTGGCCACTGAAGAGACCCAGAGATCATGCTATGTATAGTGTTTGCCATTAAAACAGCGTTCCACGTTTTTTAGCATCCCTGGGGTGGCTTGGTACTCCCCCCCCCCGTGGATACCGTGATTCAGGTGTACCTGCAGAACATTTCTAACTTGGAAAACAAGCCTGTAGGCCTGGGAATGTAACTTCTTCAGTTTCTCCAGCATAACCATGGGTACGGAAATCTGAAAGAAGGTTTAGATCTCAACCTGTACCTGATAGACTGCCAATTTTTTTATTATTATTCTTTGGTAATGGAGAGTCTTTAGTCAAAGAGTCTTTCCTAGTTTCGGTCTGCGTCGGATGAGAGAGTCAAACATTGAATAAACCCTTTGATTCCAGGGCAAAGAAGTGATAGAGCATTATCTGAAGGAGCTGATCGGCAAGGGGATCACTTTTATCCCCCGATGGCGACCCCCCGAAGCCCTGGGAGAGACCGAGGCGGGTCAGATTCCGGCAGGGTCTCCCAGCGGCCCTGGAGCAGCCGAATCCCACCTGTGTGGCAGCGAAAAAGAGCCGCAAGGCAACGCCTGCCCCCCCGTAGAAGCCTCGACCCCGGACGGTATGTGTTTGCAAGCTGGCCGGAAACTCCGTGGCCCCCCTCGCTGGGCGGCTCTCGGACGGGATCCCTTTGAACCCTGAGCAGATACGGCCGCTTCCTCTCCTTCCGTCCTCTCGCTTCGTCCCCTGCAACTCCGTCTCACAAGGATCTGGGTCTCTGGATAAATTTGGAGAGCTTAAGTTTGTCCGGGGTGGGTGGGGGTGGGCTCCCGGCATCTTGACAGCTGCGTGTCTCTGGGCGTTTCGTCCCTGGTCTAGTCTCTCTGTCAGCCCTCCTGTTTGGGGCCCACAAAGAAGGAAATTGTATGCGCTGAGCAAATGCCACCCGTTCTTTCTCCCCCTCCCTGCTGTTTCCCTTCTCTTTGTCCCCATTTGCTTCCATCGCAGCTGCACTCCCGTGACTCTCCCCTCCTGATACCGAGCCCCCTTTACTACCGGCTGGCTGCACATGTCTGCCAGACCACATCTGTTTCTCTGCTCCAAATGTCGGCCGGGGAGCAAGCTCCCTCTCCTTTCTCCTCCTCCTGTGGGGCTTCGCTCATGCACCCTTTTGCGTACGTAGCAAAAGGTGTAAAATATTGTCCGGC